ATTTCAGAAGTCGACATCTCAATTACAATGACGACATCTCAGATCATCTAGTCTCATAATACCTAGAATATCGACTGCAGGCGAGAGATCCTTTTCCTATTTAGCACCAAAACTCTGGAACAATCTTTCTAACATTCTGACCAAACTGACAGACTCTGTCAGTTCAAATCTAGACTACAAACACATTTCTTTGGCCTAGCATATTCATAACACACTATAGACTTCCTAAATTCAAATTAAGCTGCATAGTTTAGATCAGCCGGAACCAGGAACACGTCCCATAAATCCTGATGTACTTGGTACATCATAAGAAGGATGGCGTCTACGCTAATATTAGTCTCTCTGTTTATCCCGAGGGACCCTCTATGGTGGACCTGCGCCTGGACCCATCCTGACTCATGCTTAAGTGCCGGCCTCATCGACACGACAGCCATCGGCACTGATCCTCAACAACTCATCTCCATACCGGCGTGATTACTTGGTCTTCCAAACAGATGGAAAAGGACAAATACTCTTAATGTTCCAATCTAATTTGACTTGTAATGCTGCCCAAATCACACACTGTTCCTTCCTTGGCCAGAGGAGAACTGGCCGCTGACTGAGCCTGGTTTCTCCCAAGGATTTTTCTCCATTCAGTCACCTGATGGAGTTTTGGTTCCTTGCCACTGTTGCCTTGCTTTTGGCTTGCGTAGTTGGGGACATTTAATATTCAACAATATTATTGATCTGCCTAGCTTAAGGTGGACGTTGACGCAATTATCTTCTAGAAACGATTATCTTCTCTGTTGTATTATTTTTCTGTTTTCAGTCACTGATTTCTTTTCCTCAAGATGAGTTTTATTTTTTCCTTTCCAATCCGTTGTAAAAGTATGAAAAAGGAAAACATATATGTAGTCTGTTCTCCTGAATTTAATATTCCATTAAGAATTCACTTGAATCTCTCGTTATTCTCCTCAAATCCTCACGTCTCTTTCCAGGTTTGTTTTCATGGGTAAATGCAATTTATAATCTGTCAAAATGACGGAAATCACTTTAATATAGTGTCACGTAATACTGAAGTCAATGAACATTTTTGATTAAGGCTTGTTATACAATACAGATTACAGACTAATCTACAAGACTACAAAGGCTTGTGCGCTTTGGGGCTATTTTTGGTCTTTTGAAAGTACCTTGATTCTTTTAAACTTTTAAATTTTATTTTAATGTTCGATGGTTGAAGGGTGAGTCGATTAATGCCATCTAATTGTGGTACTTTTTTAATGTATTGAGTTCATAGAGCAAGCTTTTCACTGATTGTTTACAGCCAGTGAAATGTAGTTTATCTATATTATTTCTAGCTAAAAATACTGAAGAAACACTATGTTTAAACGTTTAAAGGGATAGTTCACTTTGAAATTAATTTTTGATATGTTTTAGCTTACCTCAAGGGCATCCGAGATGTAGGTGTCTTTGTTTCCACAGCATTTTCAATTTTGACATTTTTCAGTCAAACCGTTGTTGTCTATCAGTCATACACTGGAGGCTAAGGGGGTCCACCAAAAAGCATGCACAGAGAAGTCAAAATTAAACATGATTTAATAACTCGTAAATGTAAGTACACATTGATGGCCTAAGACACGAAACGAGCGGTTTTTGTGAGAAAACGAACAGTATTTATATCGTTTTTACCTCGTGTAATCACAGTGACGTCCAAGTGATCTGAATCAGTTGTTCAATGTCCAACTGAACCGAACTGAATCAGTTCAATGTTACGCCGGAAGTGATCGCTTGCGTGTGACATCACTCAATATTTACACGGAGATTTCGGAAGTTTTACCTTTTACTAAATATATTTAGATATACCGAAATCGTCTTTCATTGCGGTTTCCCGTATATCTAAATATGTTTAGTGAAAGGTAAAACTTCCGAAATCTCTGTATAAACAAAGAGTGACGTAGGAACGCAAGCGACACTTCCGACGCATGCGGAGACCGAAGCACCCGTGGCGTCAGATCATTTTGTCATGCCATGATTAGAAGAGGAAAAACGATATAAATACTGTTAGTTTTCTCACACAAACCGCTTGTTTCGTGTCTTAGGCCATCAATGTGTACCTACATTTACGAGTCATTAAATCATGTTTGACTGAAAAATGTCAAAATTGAAAATACTGTGGAAACAAAGACATCTACATCTTGGATGCCCTTGAGGTAAGCTAAAACATATCAAAAATTTATTTCAAAGTGAACTATCCCTTTAAGGTGAGTTAGATAAAAAAAAAAAATACAGTATTTATAATAAATTAATACATCAATCCAGCAAGGAAACATTAATCTGAGCAAAAACTGTCAAAAGAATTTAATCAAGACACACTTTGCTTTGTTTGCTCAAGTGTGAAAACTGTTTTTTGGTGGTCGAGGTTATCACAAAATGGGCACACTGGGCACAACTCATACATCACGACAAAATCAGTTTCTCACACACAACCACAGGGAGACAGAGAGCTCAAAATCACATTAAACCTGCCACAGCGGGCAGGAGTCATCATTACTGAAGCCGAGACAGGTCCGGTGAGAGTGACAGAGGTACAGGTGGCCTGATCTGATCCAGCTTCAATCAGAAGTGTAAACTACAGCATCGGATCCGTATTTAATGAGTGAGAGCCTTAAATCAAACATTTGCCTAGCAGCTTTGATCACAGAGGGCACAGGGGCCAGTTGAGAAAAACACTGCATATGTATATCCTGGAGATGTACCATCTGCTAATTAAAAAGCCTTTTTGTTTTTATTTGGTCATTCTTGGCTTGGGTAGATACTGCGGCAGGACACCCTAATGATCTTTCCTTTTCAATTAAGCATCTCAGTTATCGTAACCTGAGCTCTGCACGGTGTTCCAGAGTTAATTGGAAGTCCAATACGGGAGAGTGACCCAAATCAACAAACCTCGCGGTACTGAAGAAAACATGAAACGGAACAGCACCCACAGCCTCTCGTAGAAGCAAAGACCTGAGCAAATAGGGAACAGGCTTGATGATTAAAAAAAAACCTTTGTGTTCCTCTTAGATGGAAGCAGCCACCGATCAAATCATTTTTTGTTTTTCATGCTGTATCTACAATGTTCTCAAGCGAAAAAGAGTCAAAGCTATGCAGTTTTGTGGTTATTTTCTCCAAGGACCTCTTTAAAAACCCATTAGGTCTCAGAAGTGTCGTCTACAAAAGAAAGCCTCCTACCAAAGCACTCAAGAGTTCCCACAGCTCCTGGATGCCTCCTGTCGCATTACAAAGACAACAAGTTTTGTTTAAAGTCACCATGAAATCAAAATGGACAAATCTGTTGTTGTTTTTTTATATTGCAGTTGGCCTATTTATAATAAATGATTTATCCATGTGCATAATTATTTTTTAAATTCACGTGCCCTCGTAATCTTTAATCAAAACGTCCCCCTCCCTCTTGCAGTGACATCTCTTCTCTTCTCTGATGACGTGTTTACTGGAGCGAGGGTGGGGCAACCTGTCACTCACATGAGATCGACCAATAGCAAACCACAACCATCCAAATCCAATCAATTCCCCAAAGACAAAATGAAGCCTCACCCTACATATTTTCTTGTTCGAGAAGACGTTACACTCTTGTCTTCTGTCTCACAACGGAGTCTGATACGGAAGAGAAGAAATTGTTAAATAAAGTGGTTATTTTGTTATTTTGGCACACAAAAAGTATTCTCGTTGCTTCATAAAATTAAGGTTGAACCACTGTGGTCACATGGACTATTTTAAAGATGTCTTTCTGTCTGGGCCTTAAAAAAAATTTCTTATAAATGTCAATGGAGCCTGGACGATGTGACGACAGCCATATTGTGCCAGAACCAGTCAAAATGCTGCTTGAACTCAACCAATCAGCATGCTCAGTGTCCAAAAACTACTACCTTAGGAGCAGGGACATGGGCCCTGTCCCAAATAGCACACTTCATGTACTTTGATATTTCTTTCCAACATTAGCATATTCAGAGGTTTTAACTTGATATTTAGCTATATCATCCAAGTAGCCATTATATTAATAAAACAAGGCTATGTCTTCCTAGTAATAATATGCATACTCTTAAGCTCAAAGACAAATTTGTTGATGTGATTAACAAGTTTTTTATATTGAAGTTTAATTATTTTAATTATTTTTAAACAGATGATAACTATGTTAGGCCAATGCAACTGTTTTAGATACATTAACAATAAAGATAAAGTTCATGAAGTCACGCTTACGCATGGATGATTGCTTTGGTGTTGCCTTGCCACATAGTCCTTCACCCAACTTTCGAGAAGTAAAACTGCAAGTCACTCGTGGAGGAAGATTGTTATGGTAATTAGCCTATATACGTCAGGTTTCGGCTCCGCTCTTTATTTTATCTGAGGGAATAACGCCACCTCTGGGTTGGCAAAGAGAATCCTTTCATATCTCGTGAGTTGTCACAATCCCTGAAAATCTTGGTACGAGTTGTAGCTATTATGGCTATCAATTTGTTATTTAGCAATAAGCTATTCGAACGGGTTTCTTTGTTTTACTAACGGACGATTCCTCAGATAATTGCCTTTTGGATCGATTAATAGTGTCAATAACGTTCCTCATTAGCTGTCAGAACTGACACACATTACATGGCTTTTTTTCTTTACTGAAAATCTGACATTTCCCGCGAAATCAGTCCCGACTGCTCAAATTATAAATCATTAAACGTACCAGTATGGATCGGTTTTAATTAACTACAATAATTGATGTTAATTTTTATCAAAATTTATTATGTTTTTAATAGCTTATTTTATATAATCTGTCATAATTCATCATGCAGCATGATATCTTGGCAAAGCTCATGAAACTGTTGCTAGGAAACAAGAGCGCCATCGTCTGTTTAGTTAAGACTTAATAAACTTCAAATTATTGGAGAAAGTCAAAATAAGCATTGAGAAAACAACCAAAATAACTAAAAAAACAAATATATAATTTCTATAAAAATTCATAGAAAAACTACACATTTCGTTTATTACATATCTTTATTGTCCAAAGTACCATAAAATGATAACTGTACAACTCGGCACACTTAAGCAGAACCAGGGCACTAAATATCCAAATTGGGTTGCTGGTTGTAGTTGAAGACGCATTAAAAAACAAAAAAACAAACAAAAAAAAAAATGTACATATTTACATCGAAAGACTTTAAGTGTGTTGATGCTCTTCGCATAGGAATCTAACAAAAACAAAAACTCTTAAGAAACTTAAAAACATAATGCAAGTCCCTGGTACTGGACACATGGAGTGAGGAGAACAAACAGTGGATCAGAGATGAGAATGGTGAGAAAGGCACTCTGTGACGTCTATGTACAGGTCATCCATCATGAGAAGAGCTCACATCCAAGCTATTCACAGTAGTTAACTCTTTACATCCAAGTTGATAATTACACCGTAATTAAAATGAGTCAAAACAAACATGAGAAATGTTCCATATTTTGCATCAAGTACCCATATTGTTCAAGTTGATGGAGAACCAAAATAATTCCAATTGAATGAAGGTAAAAAAACAACAACTAAAAAAACACATCACTGAAAAAAAAAAACATCGACGACAACGGCAACTTAAAAATCAAACTACACCGGGAATTTAAAATTTAAAAACTAGCATTAAGATGGGATGCCAGAACAACAAATCAAACATTCTAACGTTACAGCACCACTTCCCTAGCGGTTACTACACGTTTCGTTACGACACGCAGCCTGAAAACTCTATGGAGGAGCTTCATTTTCGTCGCCGAAACAACGCAAACGGATTTCAACCGGCTCCTGTGATAGATTGTTCTCTTTGGTGTTTCATGATCTCAAGGCAGACCACGTTAGGCTAAAACTACATTTTTTAAAAACCATTCTCGCCAGGCACCGCATTTAGCCGAGTTGAACTGAAAAGGCTACAATTCTTTATTCGTTTCTTGTTCTGTAATACATTAAGGTAAGTGTAAACATGATCATTACATTGTCCAATGGCACTCGGTAGACGATGGACCCCAGGACGACCAGAACTTCGTGTCCTCTTCTTCCTCAAGTCTCACATTCTCCTGCTCATAAACAGGCGTCAGTGCCGCTGTGGGTCTTACACGCTCGAGCGAGCACCTGGAAAGCAACCTTACAGATTTTGGATATAAACTACAGGCCTACAGTTGTTCCACTCAAAAACATGGTGTGCGTGAAGAGAAGAGAAGAGGGATTACGCATTATGCATGTCATGACATCGTGTGAAGGCATAGTCGTATTGGACTTTCGCTTGAAGCGATTCTCCCTTGACATCAATGCATAATGCCGTGAAAAGTGACTCCTCCCTCACTGATGTGGACTGATTACAAACCGGTTTTAGGAGTTAAAAGCACTTGGGAAAGCGTGGGTTATGATTTCCTCTCCTCGAACAGCCTCTGTGACCGCAGCTTCGTGAAATCTACCACCGTTTCGGGGGTCAGGTTGATATGGGTTGAACCGATTTCTCTTTTTTTTTCTTCCTTTTTTTAAATATTTAAATAGATATAAAACTTTCTCTTTTTCCTTTTTAAACAGACAGTCTGTACATATCTGGTACCAGTACATATAAAATTACAAGAGTTGTTAAATTAGAAAGGATATGTTCCTTCTGATACGTCATATCAAAAATATGCAGCTTTAGTAAACATATTCTCATAGTACTTTTTCTCTAGGCTAACTTTACATTGCTACATTACATTTTTCAGAGTTAGAAATATAGCAAAAAGTGAGAGAACGCTGCCTCGCGCTTTCGTCTCTGTGAGTCCAAGGGCTCGCTGTGCACAACGCAGTGATCTTGAGCACTGAGCAGCTGTTTGACTTGACTTTGAAAGCCGTTTGTGCAGAGGTAGAAGCCTCGGAGTGAATAGTGTACTTTCCACAGCAACCTTCCCCGTTTCTGCACCTCTCGCTCGCCCGCACGTCCACGTTCGCTGTACCAATCTCAGCACCTGCTCGCAGCTCCCTCTCGTTCTCCACATGCTGCTGCTGCTCCTCTGCAGACCCATTCCCTCTCTTCCCGTCTCAGTCGATCTTCTCGACTTTCCCGATGATCTTCTCCTCGAAGATGGGCAGGATGGCGTCGTCTTCCCGCACCTCCTCGAACACCACTCCGCAGTCGAACTCGTCGCTCACTTTCTTGAAATAATACCTGAGGTGTGGTGAGGGAGAGGGATCGTGATGGTTTAATTACATCTACTTCAGTCAAATAATTCAACATAATTAAATACAATTAAAAAGTATTTGTTTATTACCCTACGAGTTCGATTAAATTTTCATATTTTTAAAATATAAGGAGAACAACAAAACACTAAATTTGGTTAAGATATTTATCTGACAAAATGATTTAGCAAAAAGGTAAACTACTCTTATAGGTTTTATTTACACTACACAAAAAAAACATGGTAAAACAAAAATCTCACAGGAAAAGCATACTCTCGACTGCAACATAATCGGTTATTCATTGGTTCTTGTTTTTGCATGTGTTCATAATTTCTTTGTATGACAGCCTGTCCAAAAATGATATCCGCACAATTTATCACAATTAGCAGGTCACGAGTTTTTCCTGTTAGAACGGTGTCGTGTGAGCCAGTGGTTCCCCAACCTTTTTTTTTGTCTGAGACCCCCTTTTCCCCAAGAAAATGTTTTGTGGAGGCACCCCTTCACATTTAATGATATTATCACTCTTGTAAGCTTGCAGCAAGGATGACAAAATATGTTTTCAAACAAACTGTTGAAAACTATGTTTACTATATAACCAGACATGTTTATGCACAAATAATAGCCCATAATATTGAAAATTAATTGACAAAAACAGTAATAGGCCCTTTGGAAATTTAAAAACATAAGCCTAGGAGAAGCCTATATATTGGCCCAATTTGAAATCCAAAAACAAAAATAAGGTAAAAAAAAGAAAGAATATAGGTTATTACTAAATAACTGCTGTCCGGGGACTCGATACTTCCATGTTATTTGTGAGGCTTTATTTTTACGCTATAGCGAGCAATAATAAACGTGCATTTATTAACAGAATAATGCGTCTTTCGTCTGTGTAGTCTATGACGAGTTGCGCAGGTACTGTGTAGAATAGTTCCAATGTTAAGACTTAGTATAGGCGTTTACACGGATTGAAAAATGAATTCCTGATGAACTCTCATTATTTACATATTGAACAGAAAAATGTAAGGATTTTAATTTAATGCTCACTGCTCAAAACATGTCAAAATAAGGCGCGACCCCCCACAGAGCTCACTGAGGCCCCCTTGTGGACCTCAACCCCCCTGTTGGGAACCGATGGTGTAAGCGGCCTATACGTTGATAACTAGTGATCTTCGCAACGGAAGTGAATCAATCATAACTTTAGCTGGACAATAACTTTATCCTGGTGCTGTTGTAAAGCCTAAACAATCTGCTACGGCATTTTCTATTATAACTGTAAAGCTGCTTTAAAACAATCCGTACTGTTAAAAGCGCATCCTCATAATCGTTTTCTATTTGAATATATTCTAAAATTCAAATCTGAATTTTCAGCATCATTACGCCAGTCTTCAGTGTCACATGATCCTTCAGAAATCATTATGACATGACGATTTGATGCTCAGGAAACATTTCCTCTTTTATTATTATTATTATCATCATCATCGATGTTAAAACAGTTGTGCTGGTTGTTTTTTTTCAGGATTTGATGAATAGAAAGTTCAAAAGAACAACATTTATTTGAAAGAAATCTTTTGTAATATTAAAAACGTCTTTAATGTTACTTTTGGTGCATCCTTGCTGAATAAACGTATTCATTTCTTTCTTTCTGTAAGAACACTAATGTGAAAGTGGTATGAAACCATTCTTTGATACTTTTATACTGATACCGCATCCTTTTTGAAAGCTTGAAAGCTTCAGTCCAGGAGCGACCAGCACAGTGTTAAGAATTTCTCTTTTTGTATTTCACAGAAGAAATTTAAGTTTGGAACGACATGAGACTTGTAAATGACAGAATCTTCATTTTTGAGTGAACCACCCCTTGATCATCTGAACTAAAAACACCACAGACGATCCTTAAAAACCAACTGACGCCAAGAACAAGAGGTGTAGGTGGTTTACCTGTAGCTCCCTTTCTTGGTAAGCAGCTCCTTGAACTGTCCCAGAGTGACAATCCTCCCTTTGACGGACGTCCTGTACGGGATGGGCTCCCCGCAGAAGTAATAGGCCACGGTGATGTTCTCACAGGGCTGCTTCTTCGTATTCTTATGCCTGCAAATGAACCGAAAGGCACTTGAAAAACAACCCAAAGCATTAAGTCCATAATAAGGTGGGATAAAATGGTGCGTTTTGCTTTTCTAGCAACAAAAAATGAGAATGTCCTGTAAGGCGTATCTGAAAGCCCTCGTACGTCCTCTACTGGGTTTGAAGTGGACAGCAGAGACTCGGGTTACTATTGCCAAGTAAAATGAATTCCAGATGTCTGAGACATGTTCCTCAGAAAAGTTAAAAAAAACAAAAAAACATGTGCACTGTTGTGGCGCTTTCATCTCATCCACACCAACATTGATGTCACTAAACTGCATATGTGCATGAGTTCCCCTCCAGCCGATCAGTGGTTAATACACTGGAACCAACCAACTCTGTGAGGAACTACGCGCTAAGACGGGTCAGTCTATATTATACTCTTAAAAGCGCTACACACAGAAGCGTTAGTGAACTACATGAAGGCACAGCCCTGACAAACACATGCAAGAGCATGTATCGGTGGCATGGGATGGTGAAAGGAAGGGCTACGCTCTATGAAGAAGTATTGGGAACATACTCTGACTCGGAGAGCTCCGTGTCGGAGACGGCGGGCACCACACTGAGCGTGGGAAACAGAGCGGGCCTGACAGCGGTGCGACCCCTCTGGATCACCTCCATCACATACCTGAGGAACAACCCCGAGTTAGACACACCGGCTGCGTTTGCAGGCTCACACCGCCTCATTACACGCATGCACCTCAGCCAGCCTCAGTGTGTGCCGCAACAGGGCGGGGAAGAGGAGGCAGCCTTGCATTGTGCATTATGGGTAATAGATGAGTCACTGACAAACGTCCAATATAAAGAACAACTTTACGTTTAAAATGTGGATTTTAGAAACTTTAATACCATTTTCAACAAATGAGTCATGAGGGACTACAGGGGTCCTGTATTGTTTTTCCCTGCTTGTTACAGAACATTGGTCTTCCTAGTTTGATTTGGCAGTGTTTAAAAAAAAAAAGATTTTAAAAGATTTTAAATAAAGAAATAAATAAAGATTTAAAACTGAATAAATTCCAAATATTATTAGCAGTATTATTAATGATGATACAATCATCATTTCTACTAATAACAGTAAAAAAAGATCACTTTCTTAAAAAAATATATATTTTAAGTTTTAATGATGTTTAAAGATGTTTTTTCCTTACATTATGACATTAGGAAAGTTTCAACCTGACATTTTTTATGTTAAAACTCCAAATTTTAATGAGTGCTGCTTTTGATTTTGAACGAATGATCCAGGTAAAAAAAAAAAAAAAAAAAAAAACTGAGCGTCACAAGCAATAACAAATCAGGCCACGGAGTTTCTTATATGAACAATGACATTGTGTGGACGCGTCCTGTCCTCTCACCTCTGCTTGGCCTGCAGCGTTCCAGACTTCCTCCTCTCTTCCTCAAGCCGCCTGCGGGCCTCTTCCAACTGTGTGAGGGGGTTGGGGGCTGGGTTGGGGGGCATGGTTGGGTCCTGGATGAAGGGATGGGAGGGCTGCACACTGTTGCGGAGCTGAGCGGTCACCCAAGGGTGCACAGCCCCCGGCCGCTCCACCGAACTGGGCCTCGACACCTCGTGACTCGGAGCTTTCTTGGAGCCTGAGATGCTGCTAAGGAATATGCAAGACCAAAAGAGCTTTTACATGACTCATTTTGAATTTTGCATAATTTCTAACAACTAATTGAATAATATCTTTAGATTCTACACTAAGAAAGGCTTCTCACCCGTAAGGGCTCCTCTTATAGCGTACAGCCTCCTTCTCACCCTCCATCATCCACTGCAGTATCTTCTGGTTCCTCTCCATTTCATCCAGGGGCAAGGGCTCTCGCATCTCATAGTTACGGCCATCTTCCCCTTTTCTGACCGGCCGCTTTGACAGAGTGCTGCCTTTACTGCTACAGTGAGACACAAGAACATCAAAATCACTGAAGATAAACGGCCTCCCTTAATTTTCACAATGTACACCGTAGTTCAAAAGTTATTGTTAATCAATTATATGCTGTTCATCATAGACTGAAAAAAGTATCATGATTTCCAAATAAGTTGCCTCGCAATTTGACTGTTTTGGGGTGTGTTTATTATCAAGTCAATGCAGCCTTGATTAGCAGAAGTGAGTGTAGAAACATTAACAAAGTCTTAACATCAAACTTGGTAGTTTGATGTTAATGGTAGTGTACAGTGTTGTAGTCGAGACCACCTCACTCGAGTCCGAGTCGACACCGAGACCAGAGAGAGTCCGAGTCGAGTCCAAGACCAGAGACGGTTGATTACCTAATTTACTTTTATTTACTTAGAGAAATCCTTTTTTTTTTTTTAACTGAATTTACTTAGAGTTTAAAAAATATGATCAGTTTAGGGTAAAAAGGCCACATAGTAGGTGGTGTTAAAAGTAATTTTATTACAATTTGTCATGCGCAGTTGCGCACTAGAAAATCACCAATCACTGGGCGTGTCAATCAATTTAAAGAAATATTTTATTCACATACATTAATAATCATGAAAAATATTTTTAATTGAACTCGAGTGGACTCGGGAATAATTCCGAGTCCTAAAAAAAAAAAAATGTTCGAGTACGAGTGGACACGAGTCCATGACAAGACCAAGACCATTAAAACATGGTCTCGAGACAGAGACAAGTCCGAGTCTCGAGTACTACAACACTGGTAGTGTATATACATCTCTAACAAAAGCCACTGAGACACATACCCGTAACCCATGGGGTCCATGCCGTTGGGACCGACGCTCATGCCATCTGCATAGTTGCGTGACTTGGGTCCATAGTGGTGTTGCTCCATGTTCCAGGGTAAGCTCCCGTGTATCTTCGTGGCTTCCGCCTCCACCTGTTCTTTGGGCTTTCCCCCCGCGGCATAGTGTGTGTGGTAAACGTGTTTGTGATGGTGCAGGTGCGCCGCCTCACCCTTCGGGCCTAGCCGAGCCTGGTGCTTGCCTTGGCCACCAGACAGTGGCATTAAAAGCCCGGGAATCTTGCCCGCCGGCAGCCCGTCTGGGGAGCGGGACTTTGGAGAGTGGCGGCCCGTGCCTGGAGATTGACAGCCGGGGGTTTTCATGACACGCTGCACATGTTCATCCAGGATGCTCTCTGGGTTTTCCTCGTGAGCATCGCGTAGCTGCAGCCCGTTGTAGCTCGTTTCAGAGTAGCGACCGCCATAATGTTGCATGTGGACCGCAGGAGGAACCCTGTGATTGGCCAGGGAGGGAGCGGTGGAGACGTCTGCATCGTCGCCTTCTTCCTCCTACAGGACACAGAGATTATTCAATGATGACAAGATACTTAAACAAGGAATCAGGTCAGGTGAGCAAGTCGATTGCAGAAAAAAATAGACTGTAGAATCACTGTGCAGTAACTTGTTTGAACCAACAGATGTCGCTCTTTCGAGCTTATATTAATTGGCATGTCATGGTCACATTCAAAAACACACAATGACGTGAAACGGAGACATGAGAGAAATGTCTTATTGCTCAAAACATGACTTTAATGTTCATTTTAATCATGATAATATTTCTCGACAAGCACAGACCTCTCTTCACCAAATTATCGGACATGTCAGCTTTCTTAATATAATAACAGTTAATATTTTACTTGCTTATTTGTTCTTTTGATTTTACTGGCAACAACAATGGGGTTCAACACTGAATTTAGTTTCAATCACAGTCTGGTGACGAAATTACATTTGTCACATTCTGTTTTGTTACTTTTAGACAATGAAAATGTAGTTTTGTCTTATGAAAACAGTCCTAAATCTAATTTAACCAATCGTGTTTCCACCATACAAACTCTGCAGTGTTGCGGCCTAATTACTGAATATAATATCTTTAATCTGCGTAGAATCCAACATTTTGAAGCTTAAGGTTGTTTCTGACTGTTTTTCCCCATAAAATGAATCATTTTATGAGTAACAGTTTTAAACAATAATAATTTAATAATAATTTAAAGTTACCACATTTTGTAAGTTTTATGGCAGTGTTACCATCATTGCACTTTGTTAATGTGGGTTAAACTATGCATAGTTATCTTCACAGAGTATCTTTTCTGCTAGTTCCTAATTAAAACTGATAAATTATAATCTATTCATATAAAATTAGTCGACATTACAAAATTTCACGAATTGACTAGTCATACACACTTCACTTGACTGTCGAATTTGTCAGGTCACTATATACAAGTTTAATATATATATTAAAATTAATTATTTTAATATATATATATTAAATTAAAAATAATTATATATATATATATATATATAAATAAATATAAAGAATTTATATATTTTATTCTATTTATAAAGGATGCATTAAATTGAACAACATTGACAGTAAAGACATTTATAATTGTTACAAAAGATTAATTTTTCATACAAATGCTGTTCCTTTGACATGTCTATTCATCCTGAAAAAATATAATTGGAATACCTTTCCACAAAAAAACATTAAGCTGCATAAATGATTTCAACATTTATGTTGATAAGAAATATTTCTAAATAGACCAGAATTAGTTTTTTACTGTATTCTTGTTTAAATAAATGCAGCCAAAAATGGTGAGTTTTGAATGGCAGCATGTGTATTTTAAACTGTTAATGTGCATTTTATTTCCAACAAATTTCCTTCTCCTTCAAAAGTGCCTTTTGATTTGGTTGTCTTCTCATTTTCATAATGGGGAAAGTCAATAAAACCAAGGCCTCGGCAATGCTTTGATTCTCTCTCCAGGTAGCGAAGTCCAAGGAGAAAAGGAATTCTGGGGATTTGGCCTGAGCATCATTTTATTTTTACAGAACAGCTGTACAGGTCAGAGATCTGGATGATCTTTGACAGATCAAGCCAAAAAAAAAAAAAAAAAGACGATGTGGGAAACGGCACAAATCCAAAAGCAACGTGCAAACCATCCAATTTCCATTGCGCCGATTCAACCTCTAAAAACTGAACCATCTGAAAATGACTTGAAACCCTAAAAATCCTCATTCTGGGGTGCAATGCAGACTTGTCAAGGCTCAGTAGCTGGCAAAAACATGTTTAACTGTCACAGTCCTTCCTGCTCAGTGGACCAAAGAGCACAAGTGCTGTATAGAAGACAGTCGTTCAGCTGATAGGAAACAACTTTGCTGAAACCTGAGGCACCGTTGAGAATATCAATTAAGAGACAAATGACATTCCTCCTTCGGCTCTTAACTCAAAGTCACTGTTCTGTGACGGAAGTTCCAAACTACATAAATAATCTGCCTTGAGACGCAACACCTGGCTTTGAGTCGGGAAAAAGATTCCCATTTGCGGTGCGCGCAAGCATTTCTTCACGCCCCGACTGACTTCAAACAAAGTCATTACACTGAGGCAGACTAGCAAGCAGCTCGATCTCGGCAGGTGAATCACCTGACACTGGGACAAAAAGACGAAAGAGATGAGCAGAGTCCCCTTGATAAGACGGGAAGTCTTTAGAACACATCCGACTGGTTCACTCGTGATGAGAGGAGGCACAGTAGAGACGGGACGATTCCCTGGCATGTTTGGGTGCTCTACTCACCAGTCGAACCCTCTTGAGCCGCTCCTCCAGCTTTTCTTGTGCCTCGCGTTCCCTCAGCACCCCCTCCAACCTGCTGATCAGCTCCGCCGCAAACTTCTCCGGCTCAACGTGAATATCCTTTGGTATCCGGTTAGTGCGCTGATGGGAAGACAATGCGAGTCAGTACACATTCACATTTAACGCAATGCTCTTAAAAACGAACTACAGCTGCTGATTAAACAATAACACAACAGTGTAAAATACAATATTCAAAGCAGGAGAACATTAATTCAGGCTAGACACACAAACTAAACACACTGTGCTATTGAGAAATAATGCACTGATTCGGTCTACAGTTTCAACGTAAACCCTCATTCCCTAAGTTAGTCCACTAATACGGTCCACTTGAAGGAGTGAATGAAAACGAGTGAGCGAATTCGGACAGCCATTGAGCGTAAGCTGTAGGCTACACGTTAATGCATTGCAATGTGTAGAAGATAATGTTTACATAATTAAATGTGACATTTAATTAAAGTGAGTTGAGGAGTCTTATTTCCTCATTTTTTTGTAATGTCTTTGAATAATATGGGGAACATGAATCGCAGAATCGAATCGCAATACTTGCTTGTATCGCAATATATTGAGAATCGTAGCCCAAATATCACAATTTTGCCAATTCCCACCCCACAAATCAATCCACCTTCACATCTAGCGCTTGCAACATGAACCCAAAACTTATAACAAAGAAGAGCTGCCTATCAGATAATCACTTGTCATCTGAGCATCTGCACAGGGGAAAGCTGCATATAGATCTTTATTGTAACCTTTTCTCTTCTAAAACCAATGAAACTCCAAAACAACAGACATCCAGGAAATGTATTATTCCAGAAGTCTGGAAGGAGAAAAAGAGAGACGGGGGAGGAGGACAGACACATGAAGAAATATAGTTGCAGGCAGTGCCTGGACAAGGTCCAATAAAACCCTTACAGGAGCCGTTAAAATTTTGATTACAGGGCCAAATCTGATCTAAAGTCTGTTCCAGCTTTCTTTGTTCTGGCCTTCTGTTTGCTTAAGATTCATCAGTCTCCTCCGCAGCCCACACGGTTACATGCCCAGTGCAACTGCAGAATCTGTCAAGTCTTGACAAGGCGTTTTGGTTACCAACACTGCCTCCCTGCCGCAGACCACGCTTACAGAATATAAGAGAGCCTTTTAAACTTAACAGAGACAGAACGGGAGAACACAACCAAAGGGGACAAAAGAAATCTTAAGTGAGATAGTGTGAACTTGATAGTGAAAACTTGAAATAAAGGTCAACAGTTCAGCTAAAAAATAAAATTATATCATTTACTCACACATAATGTTGTTCAAAATCCATATAAATGTCATTTATTCAAAAAAAAAAGCAGATGTTAGGCATAGCGTTCACTCGCTCTTTTCCATACAATGAATCTTAATTGAGGAACAGGCTAAAATTTGTCATTACTCAACTGTTCAACCTCATTTGTGTGATTTGAATAAACACTACTATTGCCGTACCATCATTGCATATATATATATATATATAAGAGATGTCCCCGAAGCCTAAATCTGAATTTAAAAAGGCACGGAAAATGAGTAGTGCATTCTACGGAGCCCCTAAAGGGACATTGCTAGAGTTGCAGTGGTCGGGTACAGAACATAAGATCTCACTTATAATGTGAAAAACAATAAGGACAGATGACTGACAGGACAAAGGTGGAGGACTTGGGTGTGCAACTTAGTAAGCGCCAATGACTAATATCGGTAACACTTTACAATAAGGTTCACTTATTAAATATTAGTCAATCCATTAACCAGCCCGTTCTCATCCCAAGGCGTCATATTGACGCTTTTGACATTTCGTCTACATCCAACGCACATGGCATCAATATGAGACGCAGATACATATGGGACAAAAGGCGCCTCCTAGTGGTCTAACCCTAACCCAGACCTAAACCTACCCATAACCGAACAAAGCTCGTGTGCGTGTTATATTGACACTAAATGGTGCCATGTCAAAAGCGTCACTATATGACACCCTAGGATGAGAATGCATTATATTAACTAACATGAGCAATACATTTGTTACTGTTTGTTAATCTTTGTTAACATTAGTTAATACAAACGCAGCTGTTCATTGTTTGTTCATGTTAGTTCACAGTGCTTTAGCTAATGTTAACAAGATTTTAATAAAGTATTAGTAAATGTTGAAATTAACATTAACAAATATTAACAAACGCTGAAGTATTGTTCATTCTTAGTTAATGTTAACTAATGAACCTTATTGTAAAGTGTTACCCAAATATCAGTACCGCCAATCTCTATACACACACAAGCAAAATTGAAAGTAAAAAGCATGCGTTCAAAATCAATTCCAATACCCTGCATATTAACACTCACCGATGCCCGTAAGTTATATACAATGAAATTACCCAACTATGTAATTGGGAGAGAAAGCAAAAGCATTGAAATATTATATCACCATGTCCCTTTAAGGGCTCTGTACAATGCCAATTCCTTTCTAAACATAGTATATTCGCTTCGGGCACATCTTTAAAATATACTGTTAGTTCCAGCTCTCGAATCTGATTGGCTGAGAGCCTTTTCCAGCCATGCCATATTCTACTAATATCACACGGAAATGTTTCACAATTTGTTATCAGGAGCAAACCCACTGTAATTTTACAAATACTACTGAATATCCTGTTAAACTTGAACATTTTGTTCAATTAAATAAAGCAAGTCAGTCATACAGGTTTGGGACTACACGAGGGCGAATAAACAGTGACAGAACTGTCATTTTCAGATGAACTCTCTCTTTAAGAATGTTCTACACCTGCAAATTGTAGTTTTGATAGATATTGGTGCGCATGGCACACGCAGAAAAATTAGTCAAGAGCTTCCAGTACGTCACGCACGTACGAGCTGAAGTGTCTTCGCTGCCTCCACAACTTTCAGTCTCTATAGGATGAGTGAAAGGCCCCAGTGAGGGGAAGTGTATGTTTGCTCTGTTAAATTGGGCTCTATCTCAGAGGCTCCAATTATGCTGGAGCCGGTACAGTGGGAAAGCCGAGCCATCAGAGGATGAGGCTTCACATCTGCTGGGGCAGAGCAGGCAGAGCTGACGAGAGCATCAGGAACGCTTTAGACAGCACACTCGCGCTCTCTCACTCTCCATCAGCTATTCACCGGCACATGATCAAAGCTCCCCAGCCACCGCTGTGCATCTTAAGAATGCACATTCATTTTAGGGGCGATGGGAGAGACAAGGCAGGGGGAAGAAAACAGAGAGTAAGAATGACAGGGAAAGACCAGAAGATGATGGACGGAGACAAGGCACAGAGAACAAAATAAAAAGGAGTGGGGGTGAAAGAGAAAGAGAGAGAGATGGAATAAAAAGGTAGAGAGCGCACACACCAAAAGTGCTGTAAAGTCAACAAGGTGTTCTGGAAATCCAAGGCATACTTACAGGAATATGAGGTAGTGGCACTCGCCCATTAACTTTGGCACTTTCGTGTATCTCACGTCGATGCGGTTTACGATACCTATAAGGTGGGACCCCATCTCTGTAGGGAAAAACAAAAAAACATATAGAGAATATGTCAATAAACAAAAAAAAATATATTTATGAAATCATTGTTACATAAAACACCTCATTGGTCCAATGGTGGAGTACAGAAATAATCTAAAAAAAAAAAAAGTCAATTTACTCACCTGTATGACTTTCTTACCTCCGTGGAAATCAAAAGGACCCATTTAGCATAACGCCTAAGCCAGTGCTGTTACAGTTAAGCCTAAAACTATTACAAATCATTTTCGGTAATTGAAATAAAGCTATAACAACAAATATTAGAAAAATTAACTTGTTTCAGTTAGCAGCCAAGCGACATTTTCCAAACAAAAACAAATAAAAAACCTAAAATAACTAAAAAGAACTAACAATAAGCTACATATACACACACATACACACACACACACACACAAATATATATATATATATATATATGAAGAGTTCAGATGCAAAAGCCTCTAAGTGCCATTTGAAATTTTCTTCTTTAATGATCATTTTTATCAAGCTTGTATATTTAAGTTCAGTGATTTCACTTAAATGGCAATGATAATTACCTATTAATTGTTATTTAAGTGAAATTACTGAACTTAAATATACAAGTTTGATAAAAATCATCATTAAAGAAGAAAATTTCAAATGGCATTTAGAGGCTTTTGCATCTGAACTCTTCATATATATATACATATTTATATACACACACACACACATAAATACATACATACATACATACATACATATATATATATATATATATATATACATATATATATATACATATATATATATATATACATATATATATATATATACACATATATATATATATATATATATATATATATATATATATATATATATATATATATACACGTGTCAGTATTTAGGCTAATTATAGGCTAATTATAGGCTAATTTGTTAATAATAGTTAAAAATAACTCTTCACTATAACTTTAAATAGGCCCATTAAATAATATTAATATATATAACTTTTAACCTTAACAATCTATTAGTAAATGCTGAAAATAACAGTGACTGATAATAAATGCTTAGTTCAGAAGCATTTGTACATTTGTAAATAATGTAAACAACTGGAATCTTATTGTAAAGTGCTCATGCAAAAACTAATAAAAATGACAAATGAAAATATAAAATGTATATTAATACTAAAATAATAGTAGTCTAAGCTGCTCTTTTTTCCATACAGTGAAAGTAAATGGGGACCATGGCTGTTACAAATCTAAATTTCAGTGAATATTTCAGTCTGTTTAAGAAAATATGATTTCAGAAGCCTTGGGAACTTTTTTTTAGAGGTGTGACAGTCCCTGGTCCCCAATCACTTTCATTATACAAAAGACATTTGGCAAAAAAACCCATGAGATGGGTAAGCATATCTCCATAATATGTCACTTTGCGAAGCTGGCCATTTTGTGATAGTAAAATGTGTGCAGCACATCAACTGTGCTTGCTAAATACAAAATGTTACCTCACTAGCATGTGTGACTTATAAAGAAATGTCAGTTCTACAGGGAACAAAATTATGCTGTTGATTCGCAACAACAAATATGTGCATACAAGACAGTCCTTGTGTGAGAACAGACCTCAGACTGCAAAGCTAAAGTGATTGCAGGTGTTTACGTTTCTGTTGTGGGACTGAAAATGCGAAAGCGTCCTCCTCCTCCTCCCATCTAAACTGAATCCCTGGGGCAGTGGCAGCAACCGCTTCAGAGCAGAGCATGTTTGGGGTCCTTCGTTGACACATGCACAGGGAGTCTTTAATCCCCCCGGGTCCTGCTGCGGACCCCCCTGCATCTCTGCCTGGCAAACAGCTGATAATGGCCTCTAATCTAGCCCACTTCAGACACATGTTTTTACCCTGATGTGCCTTTAATGTGTTTTTTTTTTTTTTTGTATAACAACCATCTCTGAACTCGGCACACTCCCCGTTGCTGCCTCTCCAGTCGAAACCCTCCCGAAACGAACATCCAGAACGGAAAAGTGTGATTCCGCTAAACGACAGACTGAAGGTATGGTCACATTAACCATTGTACGGCTTATTTTTTCGAGGGCAAAATCTAGTAATTTCCACATGAATGGGAATTACAGGTGAAAGGTTTTCCCATGGGTTCAAGTAGTTTTGACCTGGGGTGCGTTTCCCAAACAACGATGCAACTCTCTTCTTAACTACCAAAGTACGATGCATTATTGGAGAAACTAATTAGCCAGTCAAAACTGTTTCCCAAAACCATAGTAACTTTGCTGCATATCCTCGCTGGAACCACGTTGGTTAGAACTGTTGTTGATGAGGTCGACCATTTCACAACACTTAAATTTGATGTCTTATTTTGTCAAAATAATTTAATTTGTATATACACTCCAGGGCAAAACCAATGGACCAAGCCTCAAAATGGCTGAGCTTTTAAGTCTTAACCACAGATTATTATCAGGAAATTGGTAATATGCACTATTTTAATAGGCGTTGGCATCTCAGAAAACATTTAAAGGCAGAATTAAGTTCTGGCAGAAAATGTGAAGTTGATGGAGTGAGGAATCCCAATGAAGCACATGTTGCATTGTGATGCTACAGAGAGTTGTCTTTGAAAATCTGGAGAGAAATTCAATAATAAATGAATCTCTAGAACAGTGAAGCATGGAGGAAGAGTGTATTTATGTGGGGAGCCTTTTTAGCTGCTGGTATTGGTGAGATACTTCACTGTCAAAAGTCATTTAATGCTGTGGAGTACAGAAGAACACTGCAGAATGACTTGTTACCACAAATCAAAAGAGGAATGATTTTGATTTTGAAGAAAATGCTCCAACCTAAATGGCAAAGACAACCAAGAAGTGGCTTGAAAACAAGTCCATCTGGCTCATGTTTGACCTGGTTAGAACCCTGTACTGGATTTTTGGTCTCAAGATACTTTATCTACAGTATTTGTGTGACTTGTGCTAATTTCCTGACCAGTGAATTGTGATTCAAATCATTCAAGACTGTTATAAGACCACTAAATATTTTTCAATTTTTGGCATGGCCCATTTTTTTTTTTTGGCCAGGAGTGTATAATTAAGTTTACGTCATACCAACCAGAAACGGGTGAGAGCTGTAGTTCCAACCAAAAAATATCCTAATCATTCTTGTATCTGACTCAGACTAGGCTATTCAATTTATCACGTCTGTTGTGATGTTAAATAAAGCATTAAAAACTGAAGAGAATTGCAATATGTCAGCGGGAAATTTACAATTTATTACATAACAATTTATAACATATTATCCTCTAATGTCGTTACAGATGCAGCATTTCGACAGTACTTCTGCACGAGATGAGAACAATTTCTTGGGTCAAGAAAGAGTCGGAATTTGCGATATAGGCTAGGTCCTCCAATCAGTGCTCTCCGTTTGAATGCATGTAAATTCACAGCAAGGACGTTTTCCTGTCAAATAGCCTATCCCATAAGTGAATTTCAAATGAGCTTAAAAGAACGCTGGTTAATGTGTTTTACATGCTGGGAGAAACCAGGGTAAGGGGCAATAATCTAGCAGAGTCGATCGGTTTCTGAAACTTCACCAGATTAACCTGTTTTCCTTTATCTGAGTCAAGTTAACTTTAAGACGGTATAGCAACTTTCTTAATTTACAACTGACTCAATATTTCTCTTGTGGAACTATATTAATGATAGTGAAATACAAATGAATATTTCTTGTTAAACAAGTCGTTTTAAGTGTTTGAAGCTTCTTTCGTTTTTCACAGACGGCAGATTTGTGATGCGTTCGTGAACTAAAGACTGTTATTAGATCTATATAATTTTTGTGATATTAATAATAATATTTTGTAATCATTTTGTTTTCTAGTGTTGTTAAATGTTTTGTTAATGTGCTATGGATACAAAATGCTGACGAACAATGTCATTTTCATCTTGGCTCAAACAACTGTAGCCTTTAAGAATAATGCGTCGGTTATATCAAGCAAATCAATTTTGATGTAGGCTAGTTTTGTAGTTCGTTTTGAAAACATTTTCTGAGTCCTCATACGTGTGTCGGTGATTTCGATATGAATTTAGGCAAGGCAAATTAATTGAAGGGTCCAATACTAGCCATATAATAATAATTTAATGGGAAAACAAGCCAATTATCGTATTGATATCGTCAAAGCCATCAGCGATATCTCTGAATATCGTCGATACACGATACTATCGACACAACCCAACTTTTCACCCACTAAATTTAGCTAAAATTGTGACTACAGCTCGACAGGGAATGAGAATCGGTTGCATTAGAGTTCAAAAGTAAAAAATTTTAAAAGCTTTACATTGGCTTCCATGTAAATGGAGGGAAAATCATTTCATATCGCAATATCTTCTCCAGCAGACCTCGTCCTCGTGTCGTTAATTGCATGAAGCCAAAAATATTTTGGTAGCCATTAAATGAGACAAATGTGATTACACCTAAGGCCAAAGCACTGGTTATTACTTTATGAGCTCTTATTTTCAGGCCTTGTTTGTTTTCAATATTTCATTTCCTGTTCCCTTCTGTAACCTGCTTGTGTAGGGTACAGCGTGAAGGCCATTTCCTTTGTTTTCAGGGAAAGTTAATTTGAAGGAAAACAAGCCAATGCCTTCAAATTACAGCCTGCAGCGCCTCATACCTCCCAATTTGAAGCTCTATAATTAGCATAAGTAATGACATTTAGAAGCTTTCATTGGTGTGGATAATGAGCAGATGGTCCTCCTCAGAGGAGAGCAGATTTGTTTCTGTTCCCAGAGCAGAGCTGGGGGAAAATGGCACCGATTCTGCATGCACGAGACACTGCTCTGAGACCAGCCTCAGCTGCCAATGACGTTACACCGAGCTTTGCCTGCGCATCTTCCGTCCGACGGCCAAAATTTCTGGCCGCAAGTTTCTTGGAGGAAAATCCTGCTAAACTGACTCGGGACGGTGGTGACACTGAATCGCTCTAAGCTCTCGGATGGTTTGTTCCGCCTGCTCGCGGTGGTGAGAATGGATCTGTGTGTATTTGTGTGTCTATAGATGTGTACGTACACACTGCTGTCGGTCAGGGAGAGAGTGTCTGCGTCGCTGGACATGCTCTGCTGCTCGCTGTCATTGGCACTGGTGGCAGGAGCCAGCGCATAGCCGGTGTTCACGTAGTACGGATTGACTGGCTCCCTCCATGACGCGTGTCTGTTGATGAGAAATGGGACAGAGGAGATTCCTGTTAAACACGTGATGAAGAAAACAATACTGGTCATCTCAGTGAAAACACATTCCATTCATTCATTTCTAAGTATCAGACATAACGGCATAACTGATTGTATTCGGTGGATAATCACTTTCTATGGCTCGTTTGTTGGTTTCTCAACTTGACCAGAAAATATCACATTTCAATAATGCCATAGACACCAGCCTGCTTTACAAATTCAGGAACACCTTCCAAGGGCAACAAATAACAGAGGTACTAATATTACCTTCAACATCAACCAAATTAAAAGGCAAGGAATGTAAATTCAATATACAATCTTTAGACGTTAAATAAAATTGAGTAAATATGAAAAAAGTAATGAATAAATGATTAAATGACAACATTGAAAAAGTTACTGTCAATCATGAACACAATGAATAATAAATAAATACAGAAAGCTCTAACACAAGTAATACGCCAATGAGTTAATTTAATTATTTACTCATAGGCCCATGTATGCTATTTGGGGTTATTTGTTGCTTTTAGGCCTGTTAAAATATCCATTTTAAAACTGGTATCAGCTGATATTAGTCGTCATTTAAGTGAAATTACTGAACTTACATATACAAGTTTGATAAAAATCATCATTAAAGAAGAAGTATATATCTTCATATATACTTTGTATATATATATATATATATATATATATATATATATATATATATATGCACACACACACACACCCATACTATGACTGTATATTAAATAAGTGTCTATTAGCAGAGAGCTTACAAAAACATGTTATGATGGAGCTTCTGAAAATAACAAATGAACAAATAAGGATTGGTATATCAGACTAAACAAAACAAATGTGTCAGCGCCTCATACCTCCCAATTTGAAGCTGACACAAATGTGTCAACATACAAAAATGTCTAAAATGTTCATAAAGACAGCACCATGCCCTACCAGATCGGTCTTATTCTTGAAGATAAAATTCTTTAACAAAAGGACTTGCCTTCTATTAATAATGGCCAACAGCTCGTCAAGAGTTTCATCATCTAATTAACCTTAAACATTTTCAAAGTTAAGTTTCAGCTGGGTGGAGGCAACACGCAGACAATCAAATTCTCAGAAAACCAAATTATCTTGCAATTAGTTAAAACAGACAAAAAAGAATAACATGCCACACAGGTGAGGACACCATCTAGTCATGAAAAATGCAGCATGAATAAGTGTAACACTGTTTAAATGCTCTTAAAATATTACCTGGTTAATGCCTGTTGATAGCTACAGGGTTTCTTCACATTTTCCATTTCAAACTTCCAGACTAAAATTTTCCAAACCTCTCTGTAGATTTTCCAGATCACATTTCCTCACAGAATCATCTTTTAAAGAACAATCCACAAACAGATACTTAATTACCATTTTTTTTTTTTTTTGACATCACAATTTGTAACCGACTCTGATCAGCTTTGTAGAAGCAGTATATTGCGACAAACTGCAACCATTTTCCCTGCCGGTGCGACTACATTTTGTTAAAGTTCACATTGGTCTGGTGCCACCACCAATAAAAATATCACAGTTTCACAGAATACGGTGTTAAACGATCATCATTAAATAAAGGGTATATAAAGGGTTTTTTGGTTGAACATATGATTTATTAAAACAAACTTTTTAATGGGAAAAAAACTTATGGAAGTATGAGTCTACCTTTTGAAAAATTAAGAAAAATTAAAGCTGCACATCTCCCATTTCAGTGTTTCCCCAACCACTGTTTTAGGGGGACGGCCGGGAAATCTCACTTATTTTCAATGTTGACCGCTATGGACAAGACCATAACTGTGAAAACATCACTATTTTGCCAGTATATTGACTAATTTATTTGTTAACATCCTGGCAAATTGGCGCAGCAGGGATGGGTAATAAATATCAATTTCTCGATATTAATCAATTATCAGTTTTATGAACCGATATCGATTCTTGAATCTCAAGAATCGATTAGTCATCCTGTTTCATTCGAATGAATGGAACATTGTATCGCGGCTGCGCGCATCCAAAAAAAATAAAAAATTGCAATAATCTTTGTCCTTTGTAACTATTGATATGAAACAAAGTCACAAGTACGTCCATTTTCTTTAGAAATTCAAAAACATAAATAACGTTTTGGCGCTGCAGCGCGAGATCGCTCTGGCGCAGCTCAAGAGAAGCAGCAGCGCTGATCTCTCTTCCGGCTTAATAATACCAGTCACAGCACGAAATAAACATGACCGAGCATCTGAAAGTGTGTTAAAGATAGAGTACAACTTATCGAAATCCGTATCATGTCACATTTATTCACTCAATCAGTGTTTCAACCGTGGAAAGACGTCAGTTAAACAGCTTGTAATAAGTGTCATGTATCGTTTACCTCAGAAAACCCACATAAACTCGTTAGTCAGCTAGAAAAAAAACTCTAGAGAGGAGCATTTTAGTAAATATACTGTATACACCATATTACATATGCATTATAATCTTAATGTTCTTCAATATTTAATGCATATTTGAATAAATCTGGCAAGTTTTTATGACAGCTACCATTTATATGTTTATATGTCATATAATCTAATTATAAGAATAACTAAAAGTCTAATTTAAGTGTTTGTATAGCTACAAAACAGTTAATTATTACCATAATTAATTTGGTAATACAAGTGCCCAAACAGACGTGAAAAAGCAGGAGGCGCCGAAAAGCGGTCTGTTTGCATCCCTGGTTTTAATAAATATTATTTAGTAGTTATTTTATCACTGACTGTTTACTCAAACAATGTTTATTTAATTGAGAAAAACCTGGCTATGCGCCAATGTGTGTTCAAAAAGCACATTACTTTTTGCTGAAGCATTGAAAATGTCATACGAAATCATATAAAACTCTATTCCCTTACATCATTTTAATATTAATGACAGCATTCTCTGCTCAGACTGAATTTCCCACAGCTAACATACATCATGCCAACTGAGGAATGAATCCAGATTCCAGGATGGCCAACATGAGCACGACAGAGATGATGTAAATAACAGCAATATAAAAACGTAGTCAACCATGCAATACGGATTCCTTCTAGGAAGAACAGGTATGACAGAAATTAAAACGCTTCTCAAATTATTCAGCCCGCATGTAATTTTAAAGCAACCACAAAAGAAGCAGGACGCGTTTTGAAATGTACCAGACGATATTATTTCAGAATATGGCGCTATCACTGTGTATATAAGAGCGATACAAGGCTTGTTTATTGTGTGGCACTTGGGAACAGCTAGGCACTGCTTGAACCTCTCACAAAACGAGACATCTCTTTATGACCAGCCTAAGCAGAGGGGCAGAAAGAAACAGACAGAGGCAGAAAGAACAGGAAAAATGGAGTTTATGAGAAGGGAGGGGGAGAAGAGAGAGAGAGAGAGAGAGAGAGAGACCCAGGCTCTCTGCAGTCTCCAGTGATTATCCCTCGCTCTCAACCCATCCACGGTCTTCTAATGATTCAAGCAGCAGCAATGTCAATATTCACCGTATTAGAGATACCCAGAAGCCTTCAGAGACGATCCCGAGCCTTCAGCAGCTCTCTCCACATGCCCAGCATTCCCCATTCCATTTGATTCTCCACAAAACAAAGGCTCTAAAACAGGCAGGGGGCATTAGGAATCTCTGTATCATTACTGCGATTCAAAACGAATCGATCTGCTTTCTCTTCCCCTCAATAACATACACATGCCAACATCCAGCCGCGCGAACACATTAATTACCGTGACATCTCCAACAAAGAAAAAGCAAGCTCTAAGGTAAAAAATAAAAAGCACAGGCACATTAGGATTTAACTGGCTCCCCTCGCAGCCCATTACCACTTAAAAATCCTTGCATCCAAAGCCAACTTCACTGGGACAAAAGCACAATGCGCATTTGAAAGGAGCCATTACCTGGGTACAGGTTACATTGCTGTGCCTAAGATTTGTGCACCTCCCCACACTCAGAATAATTATGAGCTCTTTGTCATCCCATTTTACATGTGATCACATCACACAGACTCCAACAGATTAAACCCTCAAAGGCAGATCTGCGCTCAAGAGCACAGGTAAAAGAGTGAGATTCAGATTACACTTTCCCTCTTAGAGAGCCGAGTATCACATTAATGAAAGAGAAAAATCACTGACGGGCTATAAACAACTATCTAACAGGCACTAACCTGGACAAAAATTACATTACAATCATAGTAAAACAACTTGAAAACACCAACACATGGAGACAGCTCGCTTGACATTCCACTTGACATTATATCTTGATATTGATGCAGACAGAGTGAAACCCGATTCATTAATTAACAAGAATGACCATATTAATCCTAATTGAAATGATCTTGCATTTAGATTTACTATTAGGGATACACAGATACTAAATACTGGCCAATCCGACACTTAACTAATCCCTAATGTTATCACGACATTACTTAAAGGTGCAATATGTAATATTAACAGCTAAAGGTTGGAATGGGTAATGCAGTCCCCGCCCCCTCCTCCGTACATGGGTAGCCAGATTGAGAACAAGCAAAAGCGACGAACCTTAAACTTAAAAGTTGATCAGCTAATGTATACGTTTACATAAATATTGCTGAGGCTTTTTAGGTCGGGTAGAATCTGCGATCTCTGACCCAGTTCATTTACTGGCTTTCATGGCTGCAGTACACTGTATTTTCCACCAACTGGCAACCTGGGGTGTCAAAAAATACTACTGGGTAAATTGGTAGTGGACGGGATCACACATACCCCTTTTCCACTAAAAAAGAACTGGTTCGGAACTGGTGCTGGTTCAAAGTTGGTTCAGAACCTGTTTGTTTTTCAACTGACTAGAGCGCCCAGTGAACGACGTTGTTATGTCACTGTGTACGTCGCTATACGTCTAAGCTAGAAACGCTTGCAATTACAACATTACTTTGGGATTATCTCTAACTCGTGTACGAAAAAGGCTTTAAAAACAAT